TGACGGATCATTGTTATACCTAGGTGTATTATTCGTAGAATCAGCCATACTTATTTGACTTTGATCAGCTAGTAACAAAAACAAAATCAGAAAGAAAAAGACGAAAGAAGTCAAGAAAAAAAAAGTAAAAAAACAAACCTGATGTCCTGCGCGGTTGCTGGGTGCTAGCTGGTTGAATGTTGATGGCGGACGGCGCGGCGCCGCTGCTGCTGGTTGCTTGACGGCGCGGCGCGGCGCCGCTGCTGCTGGCTGCTTGACAGCGAGGCGCGGCGGCTGCTGGCTGCTTCACGGCGCGGCAGCTGCTGTTGCTGCTTCTTCTGGCGGACGGCCGGCGCTGCTGCTTCTTCTGGCGGACGGTCGGCGCTGCTGCTGCTACTTCTTCTGGCGGAACTCGGAGGACTGGAAGAGGAGAAGAGGAAGAGGAAAGGAAAGACCAAGAGAAAAAGAAAATTAGTAGAAAGATGAAAGAGATAGGAATAGTGTCATAGGGTTTCTTTTTTAAAAAAAATTATTTAATATTAATAATTATTAATTAATATAATATAAATTACAGTATAATATTTTGATTTAAATCGAAATATCGAAAACCAAAATAATACATACCAAAAACCGAAATTCTGAAAAATTTCAGTTCGATTCGGTGTTTTGATTTTCCGGTGTTTATGCTCAACCCTACTATAAAGACAATTTTGTACATTTTTTCTATTTAACAATGAAGTTTATAGAGCATAAAAAGTACAACACTGACTATCATGTGAAGTTTTCATATTCTTCAAAGCAATTGCAAAGTCCAATTTGTTCAGAGTAGAAAACTACAAAAGTTTTTTAGTCTACAATAATCAGACACAATCAAATTGACAGGGAGTACAAAACTATAAAAAAAAAATTAAAAATTCCAAACAGAATAAAACATATTCTAAGATTATCACATATAATATTTTTTCATTTCAAATAGTCTTCCAACTATGACATTTTGACATACTATTTTATGAAACAAAAATATGCATGTCTCACTCTACAAGCTAGTGAATTTTAAAGACAACACTATTTGCCAAGGAAAATTCATTGAAAAATCATATGATTTGCAGAACTTTTTCCAAAGGCATACATGATAAATATCAAAATTGTTAGCCTTTAGAAATTGTTTTCCTCCTTAAATGAATAATAAGAAGGTTACATCTTTAATTGAAATACCAAAATAAAACTTTTTCTGTTACATTCTCACTTCTACCTTATTAAATAAAACAATAAATTATGGAGAAGCAATGCATTTATCTTCTACTTTCATGATCAGATTTTCTTAGTCAGTAGAATACAAAAAATACTAACAATATAAAAATTTCCTTAAGATTGTTGTCTATCTTATATTCCTAAGATACTTAGAACAAAACTTTGAAGAACTCGGTAAGATACAACAAAGTTTAAAAATATTTTCTTAACTAGAAAATTAAAACTAGTAGAAAAACTAGAATCAGAAACAGATTAGAAAAAATATATGAAATATTTTTCTTAAAGAAGAACTGTTGTCAATCTGTGTTTAAAAAATCTTACTGATTCCAACAAACTTTTCAGAAACACGAAATAACCAAAGTTTAATGAACCAATGAAGAATAGAAGAACAAAAATCAATTCACACATCTAAAATTTATAACACATACCAGATTTGAAAAAACAGAATTTAGATAGCCCACTGAATGTACAGTGTCCCCTTAAGAAAATTATTCCCCTCTAGTATTCGAGGTTTGATTTGAAATATGTCCTCCAAGGGTAGAATGATCTCAATCACCAGTGTATTGATACCCAAAACGCTGTTGTCAGCGAACCACTCAACGGCAGCAAAGTACACTTAGAATATTAGATTTCGTAGTAGTAAAAAAAATCCAAAAAATTCTATATTCTATATATATTTAAAATGAGAGAAAATCCCTCAATTTATAGAACAAAGGATAGTGCAAAAAGGTTTTTATTGTGCCTTACTGTGAAAAAGTCACAAACATTTGGAAGAGTCACAATCTTTCAGAAAGGTCGTCGCCTTTCATAAAAGTCACAGCTTTTTATAAAAGTCATAACTTTTCATAAAAGTCACAACTTTTCATGAAGTCATAACTTTTTATAAAAATCACAACCTTTCATAAAAGTCGTAACTCTTCATAAAAATCGCAACTCTTCATTTTCCATTCACATCTTTTAAGACCCAAAACCCTAAGCCATAGTGCCACACAGCACCATCCATGCAAACTAGCTCGAATAGCATGAGGATACTGTCCATCCCATGCTGACCATCCCGCTATGGACTATGCCAATCGAGCCATATTTCCATCAAACAAACCCCATTTAGCTGACCTGACATGATCAAGGATGCCATAATATCTAGCCTCTCGGTATAAGAGTTTTTTTATCGATCTTTGAAGGAATATAAAACTCTCATATTCTGAGCAAGTCCAAAAGGACACCAAAACAATCAAGATTTCTATCAATGGATTGTTCAGTGATTGCGTACTGAAAATACAGGTTCCGATTGTCATCAAACATGGGTCGAAAGAGTGAATTTTGGCCAGCAATTGCTAAAGTTGTGGTTGTAGTTTCAAAGATTCTGCCACCAACATTGAATTTCACCCTGTCTTTTGAGTTGTCATTTTCAAAATGTAAATGCAAATTACAGAAATGAAGTCGTAATTGTGCTAAAATGTATGATACTATATATAGATCTTCAAAATTCAGTCTATACCTTTGACATACCAAGAGTTTTGGTGTCTGTTTATTTTCTCCATGTTTGAAATGTAAGGAATGTAAAAGGTTGTTCTTGAAACTTGAGATTCATGAGACTCTTGATTTTTCTTAAATTCTTGGATGCTGTCCAAATCTTGTCTATACACAACTGAAATTCTGAAATTTTGCGTCTGAAGTTTCATGTTTCATGCAGCGTAAACTTCATAATAAAATCGAGTTGCAAACTTCAGACAATCTAGTAGCAAAGTTGTAAACATCTATGTAATCATATATACAAATACTGAAATTGAAAATGGAAATTATAGATTTCATATATAATGAGTTAAGTGTAAACAATACATCTAAAGTAATCCAATTTTTTGGTTTCCATATCTAAACTATCAGGTGTGTGAGTTTCTACCTAAACTATCATCAACTGGCCAGTAGTTGAATTATGTTTTGATAAACCTTTTGGTGATATACCTTCGTAGATTTTCTCCAACGTACAACCGGATGAGTACTCAAATCCATGAAACACAAATTCTCATTCCAATCTACTACACAAATCAAACTACTCTCCTGTGTCGTGATTGCAGCTCTAAAATCAGCATTATAGTACTGCTTGTTGCGATCCTAATTCAATGTCCAAACCATATTGTTTTTTCTAATTTCTCATCAAATATGGCGCCAAAGAATGAATTCCTTCCAGCATCCGTTAAGGTTGTGGCTGTAGTTTCAAACTTTTTTCCACCAACATCGACTTTTACTCTGTCTTTCTGGCTTTCCATCCTTAAAAAATGTTGTAGTAGAATGAAATTCAAAACCAGCACTAATGTAAGAGATTTAAAACACAAAGCATCCCCCTTTAGCCTGTCCAGGGAAGTGCTGCAGCCCAAGAGATCTAATGTAGATAGTCTAACCTAATGCATAGCCGCTTCTACTAATGTATGATATCCTCTTAGAGAAAACATTCTACAACAACAACTAAACCAATCAAAAGTGAGGTCTGAAAAGGATAAAATGTACGCAAACCTTATCCTACCTCAAAAAGATAGGAAAGTTGTAATCGGACTAGTGAGACAATTGGAACACGCAGGAAACACAATGATAACAACACATGATGAACAAGGAACTACGAGAATAGTGCTAATACTACTGATAAGATAGTAGGTACATCCACCGCCTATAGTACCCCGCTTGAGAGCAAGAGAAATATCTAAGGCATATCCTTGGTAAACTTAAGATGCATCGAGTCATGTCTAATCACCTCCCTCAGTATTAGGAAAAAAATGTAATGCAACTATGATATATATAGGAGGATTTTTACACATTTGGTTGCTCGACCAAAAAAACTATACAGTTACTATGCAGTATTGATGTGTGTTTCTTAAACTAGTGAGTTATAATTTAGGTGTGTTACTCACATTCCCATTAATGTAAATGAACAATGAGATCTTCAAAAAGTCAAAAGTATTTTACTTGCGTTTGTGCCTCAAGTCTCTATCTAAAGAAGGCAACTAGCTTCTCAATAAATATTGCTAATTGAAACGTTTCATTTACAACCATGCTTTCCATAAGAAGATCATGAATGATGAAGTGTAATTGTTGACTATAAATTTAGTGGAAAGAGCAAAAAATCAAAGGATTTAGTCTCTAGGTCAAGTGCGAACGTAAAAAAGTTGAAGCTCATCTTTAATTTTTCATATGATATTCAAAAGTTCTGGTGTTGCCATGACTTAAATTGTTTGAGTGCATGTGGATTTACCTATTTGGTTTGTAATTGTTTATTTTGTGACACTGATTAAATGTGAAGTCATTTTTGGATATAGTTTGAAGAAATTTTCTGTGTTGCTTATATAGTTTATTCTCTCACAATTATACATTGAATTTTTTTTAGTAAATATACAATGAATAATATGTACTTATTAAGAAAAAATGACCATTATGTATAATGAATTTATTTTTATAGTAAATCATTAAATTTTTGGATTTATTTTACAATGAATTATTAAACAAAAAAAGAAACATTATAATGAATCATGCACATACATTATAAATTATATGTAATGAATTACTTTTTTAATGAATTCAATAAATATACTACATAATTTGGATGTGAAAAGATGTTATTCAAATTACATCCTTTCTCTTTATGTCTTTTTAAAATATAATTTACTTTCCATTCACATCTCGTAAAACCAAACAAAGTGTATATATATATAAGCCCAATTGAGACTAACAAACCCAATAGCTTCCTAGTAAAAGATTCATTCTCTTTTTTTCTTTTCTTCATGGATGCTCAATCCAACTGTAACTCTAGTTCATCATCAAATCTAAGAATTATTGTATATAACAACCCTTCAGAAGCCCAACTCTCTGAATTGGGCATAAAATCTTGGCCAAAGTGAGTAAAAATTAGTTATGTTTGTGCTTCAATTATTGCATTATTAATTTTGTTGTTGTTACTATACTTTTTTCTATATGTTGTGTATTATTTTTCATTTTGCGTTATTTCACTGTTGTTACTATTTCATTTCTATATTTCCTTTTTCAAACTGTTTTGAAATACTTTTTTAAATCTGCGTACACTCTAACCTTCTCAGACTTCATCATATGTGTTTTTTTTTGTTTAAACAGATGGGCTTGTTCACCAGGAAAATACAAATTAAAATTTGATGCAGAAGAAACATCTTATTTGCTAAGGGGAAAAGTGAAAGTGTATCCAAAGAACACAATAGAGATGTCACCAGTGGAGTTTGGTGCTGGGGATCTTGTCATTATTCCCAAAGGACTTTGTTGTACTTGGGATATAACCCTTCCTGTTGATAAATACTACAAATTTCATCCTTCCTAAATTATTGTTAGTATTATTAACTCTAAATTAAAAAGGTATTATAATTTTATCGTGTTATAACAAGTTGTCTGTTTTATTTTTCATATGATTTGATAGTGATAAACATTTTTGTACACTATCAATGCATGCATGATGTTAGACTCTCATAATCTCTTAGTAGATATTCATTGCGCTTAATAAGATCTCCTTTTTATAATAGTTTATATTACTAAATATAGTGATCCTTACATTTTCCTTTTCAATATTCAAAACTATTCCTTTTTTTACACTATTGACAAATTTAATTATTTTCCTAAATTGAATCTCGTTCAATTCATAATTTCATTTGACCTTTGGCTAATCTCAACGTTCATTGGTGAATTGCTAATTTTGACTTTCTAGTTTCATAATTTAATTTCCATCACCAAAATTTTTGGAACAAAATATCTTAAAGCCCGTTTGAATTTACTTAAAAAATTAGCTTTTAAGTCAAAAATAAAAAGTCAAACTAAAATGACTTTGAAGTCAAAAAAATAAAAAGTAAGGGAGACCTATTCTTGATTGTTGACTTATTTTATGTCATTATTTTACCTTGTCAAACACTTTCCAAATTTATTTTAAGTTATTTTTTACTTAAATTATTTTTTATATTTGTCAAATACATTCAGAAGTCAAAACTAACTTAAAAATAAATTTGACCAACTTTTAAGTCAACCACTTACTTACCGATGTATCGGTACCTAAAATCACGATGTCAATGAACTACTCAACGTCAATTTGTACATTAAAATTTGTTTGCAGAGAAGAAAAAGTAGTTCTGAAGTTCAAAAAATTTATTATTTGATATTTAAAAATAAGAGAAAACCTCTCTTACAGACAACAAAGAGTAGTGTGAATTGATACTTATTGTGCCTTATCGGAATGGTCACACTCCTTTCGAAAAGTCAAAAGGCATAACCTTTCATAAAAGTCACAATCTTACTAAAAAGTCAAAACTTTTTTATAAGATTCACAACTATTCATAAAAGTCATAACTTTTCAAAAAAAATTACAACTATTCATAAAAGTAAAAAAATTTCAAAAAAAAAGTCAAAACTCTTTTATTTTCATCATAAAGATCAAACCTCAGTAGCAAGAAAAGAATTAAAATTACCATCATAAAGATCAAACCTCTCAAAAGCCTTCTCAAACTTTTCTGTTGTGTCTAACATCAAATAGGTGGATTCCATCTAGTAGGCACATCTAAAGACAACATCTTATCACATTCGATCTTTTGCATTTCAACACATTTCAAGAAATTTATTGTCCTTGAAGAAGATGATCTAACATATTTCACCATTTGTCTCACCCTTTTGATAGAAGGACCAATTTCTTTCAAACCATCTTGCACAATTAGATTAAGTATATGAGCCATGCATCTCACATGGAGATGTTTACCTTCCATTAAATTAGTTCCACACATATCTAATTTTTTGGACAACTCTAAAACTGCCACATCATTTTAAGAGGCATTATCAACCGTAACAGTAAAAACGTTATCCAACTTTCAATCAAGTAAACAATTACTAATAGACTCAGCCAAATGCTCACCTTTATGAATAGTGATAGGACAAAAATTCAATATTCTTTTATGAAGCACCCAATCCCTATCAATAAAGTGAACAGTCAAACACATATAATTGATTCTTTGCACTGAAGTCCATGTGTCTGTTGTGAGACAAATTCTTAGTTGTATTTCTCTTAAAGATTGTTTCAAATTTATTCTCAATTCACCATAAACTTCATAACAATCCCTTGTTATGGTTCTACGAGAAGGAATATGAAACAAAGGCTGGACTTTACTCATAAACTTTTTAAAGCCTTCTTTTTCAACAAAACTAAAAGGTAGTTCATCCAAAATAATCATCTCAACTAAAGCTCTCCTACATACCTCTTGCTCAAATTTCCAAGTCTCTAAATTGTTATTTTGAATATTTAATAATTTTTGAATACCGGGTGCAACAGTCAGAGGTTTATACACTTTACACGGATAAGTCAAATGTTGTTTTAGTCCACTTGTTTCATTTCTTGTTGTATTGGCAGCATAATATTGTTTACAATGTAAGCACTTTGCTTTAACTAATACACCATTTTCAAAAACCTTTTCAAAGTGTTGCCAAACAGGAGATCTAGGATCCATTTCTTTTCTTTTTTTGTTATTTCTGTGCCAATTGACGGATCATTGCTATTACTAGGTGTATTATCCGTAGAATCAGCGATACTTATTCAACTTTGATCAGCCACACCCATATTGATTGTATTTGTTCAGCCATCTATATATATATATATATATATATATATATATATATATATATATACATATATATATATATATATATATATATATATATATATATATATATAAAATCACAATAAATTCCCAATAACTAGTAATAAAAACAAAATTAGAAGAAAAAAAAAGTCGAAAAAATTAAAAAAACTGAAAACAAACGGACAAACCTGTTGTTCAATGTCTTGACTCTGCGCGGCTGCTGGCGGACGGCGTGGCGCGGCTGCTGCTGCTTCTTCTTCTGGCGGACGGCCGGGCGCCGACGCTGCTGCTTCTCGCGGCTGCTGCTGACTATTGCTTCTTGCCTTCTTCTGGTGGACGCTTGGACGGCCGACACTGCTGCTTGTTCTGGCGGCGGTCGGCGCCGCTGGAGGAGAAGAGGGAGAAGAAGAGGAGAGGAAGAGGAAAGGAGAAAAAGAAAATCAGTCAACTAGAAAGAGAGAGGAATAGGAGGACCATAGGGTTTCTATTTCTTACTTTCTTTTTTAAAAAAATTATTTAATATTAATAATTATTAATTAATATAATATAAATTATAATATAATATTTCGGTTTAAATCGAAACAACAAAAACCAAAATAATACATATCGAAAATCGAACCGAAATATCGAAAAATACAAAAAAGTAAACCGAATACCGAATCGAAATACCGAAACTGAAATTTTGAAAAATTTTGGTTTGGTTCGATATTTTGGTTTTCCGGTGTTTATGTCCACCCCTACCAATTAGTAGGTACATAGTTATCCAAATGGTTCTTATCACCTTGGAAACATGTATACATGAATACAATTAATTCATGAGTATATCTAAAGGACAATCCTCACAATTCAATGAATTTATAACGATATAAAAAATATTATCTTTGTCATGTCTAATTTAGTTCATTGAAATATCATCTAAGCATAAATTAACTTGTTGGAAACACCAAGGATATGAAATATAGAAATAATATGAATTTAAACACTTCTAACATTTAAATAAAATAAATAAAAAATTTATGATTGCAATGATTAATGCACTCTTAATTAGTAACACCATTCTTTTTCTTGATTTGCAATAATTTTGTGTTTCTAATTAAGCTATATTTAAAGAAATTTGTTAAAGAGTAAATTTGTTTGAAAGAAAAATGTTATATCTATTTTTATTAGTTATCAACATTTTAAAATTATTGTCCCAAATTATTTATCATTAGAAAATTAAATTGAAGTTAATTTATTTTTCATTTTGTCCTTAAAATTAATTATTCGGAAAAAAAAACTTCTCGATTATAATTTCTTAAAGAATTTATAAAAGAAAACTGTGACAACTAATATGGGATGAATAGAATAAACAATATAAACAAAAAGATTATAAAATAATTTACCTTAGATATTTTTATTAAAATGAAGGAAATGAAAGGAAAGAACGAAACAAAGAGCACCATATATTAAAAATATAATTGAAAATGAACCTTATTTAAATTTTAATACAAATTATTTTCAATAATTTCGTATAAATAATAGGCTAAATAATAGTATATTTTTATTTATCTAAATTATTCAATATTTTATTTTTGTGCAGACCTTGTCAAATTAAATTTTATAGTTAATCACAGTTAATATCATTTTTTGTATTTTTACAGTTAATTAACCACTATCTTAATTACAATAACAATCCTGGTACCATATTTGATAATTAAACATAACAATATATGAAATTGATATTAAGATGAATGATTGAACAGTATAAATAAATAAAAGACATACTAATAGAAAATAAAATAAGGTAAACTATACATACTTCTCCCTTCGCTTGACAAAAACACTTCAGTCTTCATTAGATTTTCAAATTTTCAAAACAATAAAATTCAAGATTAAAATTCTAATTGCCACCAATGTTGTTTTTTAAAAAGACAACGTCAAAAATTGTGTTTCCAACATAAATTTGACAAAAATATTCCAGTTGATTTTGCTATTATGATTATTTTAATTTTTGATTCATTCTTTTTCTCTAACACAAATTTTTACCCTCAAAACGGATGAAAAGGCAAATAAAAAGAAAAAGAATTTTTTTTTTTACGAAATACCAATTCTCTTACTTTGTCAAACCTGATGTTAACAGAAAAAAAAAAAAACAATCAAGAAAATCAATCACCTCTATTTCAAAATTCTGCAACTATACATATATTCAAGAAATCACTAAGAAAAAGAACAATATGTTTACCAAATGTCGATAGTTGATCTATTATTCTGTCAAACACATGATGTTAGAAGAAGAAAAAAAAACAATCAAATAAAATAACCACTTCTATTTTATAATCATGTAAATAACATATAATTAAAAAAAGAAGAAGAGAATGTTTACCAAATATTAATAATTGATATTTTATTCTGTCAAACACCTAATATTTAAAAAAATAATAAAGAAAATCAATAACTTCATAATCACACAAATAACATATAATAAAATAATCATATAAATAATACTCCACCAATCTCCAAATTGTAAGATTCAAAATTCAAGCATACAAAAGTAGTAGCAAGTAAGATTCTTGAAAGATATTCAATCATGTGAAAAAATAGTAACTGTATCATTTATTTTAGGGAAAAGGGTCAAATATGCCCCTGTACTTTTCGAAAAGGTTTAAATATGCCCCCCGTTTAAAGTTTGGTCCATTTATACCCTCGCCGTCCAATTATTGGTACAAATATG